GCTCCAGATAGCCACTGTAGTTTCTTTTAAACACTTGGAAGGTAAGGGTGAGGCGAGCTGGTTGCGATCTGCAATCTCACCACTAGATGCCACTGTATCCCTCCCACTGGCCCTGTAAGAGTTGTGGTTAATGTGAGTTTTATACATTCGTCGCTCCGCTCTCCGTCCGCAGTGTATTTCTTCTACTGAGCTGGTCTTCAGGGATGGACACACAAGTCGCAGGACGAGTCTGCACCAACACCGCTGAGCCAAATCCTGCCTCTCCTCAGCGCTCCCGCTGCTCTTCATCCTCCTCCTCTTCCTCACTGATGCCTTCCTCAGAAACTTCCATGCATGGTCTGTAATGTGCTCCAGTTCCCTCCCCTTTTTTTTAGTTTCTCCAGACAGAAACCCTGAGTGGAACCACCGGTGGATGTGATGTTTTCTGGGAGCACCAGATGGGTTTACAGCATCAGGACAGTTTCAAATCAGAGCTAATTAGACTAAACTGACTTTTCTTCCTGTATTGTCCTGTAAAGTGTCACATTTCTTGTAGCCACGACGGACGAGTTTGACATGAAACTGAAAGCATCTAAAACATCATGTAGCACGACCCGTTCTCACTGGCTAGTGTTTGATTATTTTTTCATATTTGTGCAAGAGGGAATAAAATATTTCATCCTCAGAGTCATTTCATTTACGGAAGTAAATTCAGTAATATAAACGTACTTCATTACAAGAATGAGTCCTACAGGTAAAATCCTACTTGAGTAAAAGTACAGAAGTATTATCACTAAAATGTACTTAAAGTATCAACGTAAAAGTATCCGTACTTGTTCTGTTCATTCATTCATTCATTCATGGGCTGTAAAACAAGCTTTAGTCTCTAAACTGAGAGCAGCTGGTGGAGTAACTATACTCAGAGACTGTAAAGATGGAGAAATACAAACAATGTTTTGGGCTTTGAGGATCTAGACTGAGATTTTAAAAAAAGATGATTAGATGAAGATCAAGAAAGATTCACACTTAATATACAATTTCCAAACAATAACCCACTAACGGAAGATCAGTTGCTTTATTTAACATGAATCTGGCTCTAAACTGACACAGTGAACACGCAGTCGATGATGTTGAGTTAAATCCGGGTTAATGGATCCTGCTTTTTCCTCTCTGTCCTCTTGTACAGTATTGTTCAGGAACGATGCCCCCTTGCTGTCACCTTTGGTACTGCTGCTGATGTATTTCCACTCAGAGCAGGAATTTGACAGGTTTTGTTCGTCTGTCCGTCTGTCCAGCGTCAGTTTGAGTTATTCTGATGCAGCAACAGTCCTGATTTTCTTCTTATCGTCTTGTGAACCAACCTGTTTTGTGAACCACAGTTGTGGTTTTCAATGTTTCTTTCTTCTGAACTTGCTTGAATGTGATTCCTCTGTAATGAAGGATTCTGAGTGAGTGTGGGTTAGCTACCACGAGACTGTAGATATTAAAGGTTTGAGTATTGAAAATGTGAGAAGAAATTATTAGATTGAAAACTGTGGATGAGTGAAGTTGAGCATTAATCCCACAGTCAGTGCTTCAGTACTGCTGGTTGTATACAAGGTTAGGAAATGTGAGGAACATTTGACATTTAAAGATTCCAGGCACTGATATTCTGATTGTGGGCTGGAATTTCAAATAAATTCATGTTTGCAACAGAAATGTTGTGTATGTGTCCTCATTTAAGTTGTTTCAGTTTATCCTGCTTTTAGAATGAACCCAAATGTTTCTCTAAAAGTTTACTTTATCTGCCTCTTATGGAAGCCCAATTCTGCCAATGTGATGGAAAATAAAATGGTTGCTTTAAGTCAATATAATGAGAATATTTCTCTGTATTTTTTTGTTATAGTCAAAATATTGAGAAAGTTTCACATTATGACTTACAGAATCTTTTTTTGGGGGCAGAAATGGGCTTCCATAGATCTCTAAAGAGGAAATGTAATAATAAAAAGTTGCCTTGTGTTCATTCATACAAATTTTAAGCAGGTTTTGAATTTATCTTCACCCTGGAAAAGTGACACTACTACAATACTCTAAAGACTATGCACATTCTAGAAATGTAATGTACAAAGGAAACTGAAGAGCTGCTCAAAGGTGCAAAAAAATGGTGTGACAGCTGGAGAAAATGTATTAAATCTTTCAGTTTGATTGAGGTCTTTAATACTTCTACATATTGTAAACAGTAATCTTGTCAGCTCGTCTGAATGAGGAAATAAAACTGCCATTACAAACATAAAATAAACCAAAATTGGTGAGGTGGTTTAAGGAAGGCAGATTATAGCTTTACTTTGATGAAAAAGTCAGTGTTTTTTTAAACGCGTGGAGAGAATAAAGAAAACTCTCCTGTATGATGCTTCAGTTCAAAACATTTCTCCTCATGAGTTTACACCAGCTAACATTTTCATCTCAACAGGTAAAAGACAGTGAGGAAGGATATTTTCTCCTCGAGCAGAATAAAAGCGTTTAACACAGAAACTTTTCCAGAGTCTCCTCTTATCCGCCCGCAGAGAAGTTTTCCCTTATTTAATTTTAGCTTTTAGATGCTTTTGGGAAAGAATCTTTGGAAAATATGAATATAACAGAAAAAGGGGAAATAAACTTTTATCCTCTCAAAATTGACATTAAGGACAGATTATGAACTTTATTCTGAAATATAAGTAGTAAATTAAAGTTATATCATGGAGGGAATATAATCACAGATTACCCAACAAGTTCATGGATTCAGATTCACTTTTACTAATTTGTGTTGGAAAACCAGAATTCAACCAGCACCGCCATTTCTCTTACTGTTAGGAAATATTGTTAGAGATCGTAAAAAGGACTTACACCTAAACAAATGAAAGACGTTCATTAAACTGTCCAAATGACAAATGACGAAATGATCTCAGCTTTAAACACACCAATTAAGCTGATTATGTTACTCCAATGTGAGTCTGACCAATCGCTGCCCACCAACTCTCAAACTGACCACAGACAAATTCTTTATTACATTTTTTTATTTAGGTCCCAAAAAACCATCATAATAACATTATATCAATAATATTAATACAGAAATTGAAAAAAGGAGGAAAAAAATAAAATAGCTTTTCTGTCCACATCCTCAAACGTGGGTATCAGGAAGGGATTCGATCCTCCAGAAAAACTCTGTAAAGTCTGTTTAGGGGGGAAAGTGAACTGGGCGTGGCTTCAAGCTCGAGCGCGCTGTCCATTATTCTGCTGTGCACCAATCAGGAATGTCGAGGTGAGGCAGGGGTTGGTTTTCGAGGTAACAAGTAGAGTTTCAGTCTACTGCTGCGACATCTGAAGGAGGGAAAACAGAAACAACAACGTTACTTTAATTTGATTTTTCTACATGTTTTGTTGATTAAATCTTAAAGGAACAGTTACACAATTTGGGAAAAACACTTTTGGTTAATATGAAGTACTATAGCCATTAGTTTAGCATAGAGGCTAGGATAAGCTTGATTATTTTGAAACAGCTGAAACAATTTCGATCATTGGTTTAGCTCTGTGCCTGTCTGCT